GTTGATTAGGTCAATGCCTTGATGGAGTTCGAAGATGAGCATTTCCCGCTTAGGGTAAGCAGAGATAAGCAATTTGATTGGTTGATGCTTTGGGACACGATAACTTTAGTTCTAATTAAGTGAGATTGATGAAACTTGGTGTATAGTTTCATTACAGTAATACCTTGACTAAGTTTGATAATGAGCATTTTCTGCTCAGGGTAAGCAGAGCGATACGCAATTTGATTGGTCGAGACTTTGGAAAACAATAACTCTCCTACTTTGATTGTCCCCCGCCTTTCGAAGAAAGCAGGGAACTATTAAAATGGGTTCGTCCGTCAAACTTGGTGTATGTGTTGATTAGGTCAATGCCTTGATGGAGTTCGAAGATGAGCATTTTCCGCTTAGGGTAAGCAGAGATAAGCAATTTGATTGGTTGATGCTTTGGGACACGATAACTTTAGTTCTAATTAAGTGAGATTGATGAAACTTGGTGTATAGTTTCATTACAGTAATACCTTGACTAAGTTTGATAATGAGCATTTTCTGCTCAGGGTAAGCAGAGCGATACGCAATTTGATTGGTCGAGACTTTGGAAAACAATAACTCTCCTACTTTGATTGTCCCCCGCCTTTCGAAGAAAGCAGGGAACTATTAAAATGGGTTCGTCCGTCTGTCTGTTTGTCTGTCTGTCCGTTCCGCTTATTTGTGATAAATTTATATGTGTCCTCTAATTATTTTCCTATTTCGGCGGGGGACATCAGCCTCACTGTTGGCTTGTTATATTATGCATAAAACCTAAGCATAATATAATTAATATGCAGTTTCTTTATAATATAATGCTCAGGTTTGATAAAGTTTACATTATTTGCATTAGCCAGTGATATTGATAAATATGGTACTTTTAAAGACAGCACAGCCACCGAAACTTCTTCAATATTGACCGTTAGATGGATTTTTTAAAAAGTTTTCAATTTAATTGAAACAAAAAATGCCTGTTCTTACTCTAAAGCAATATCATGTAGCTTAGTTTTGGAGATTGTATTGGATTTGCGGGATCAACAACTCTGTGAAAAAGTTATAATTTGGTGACCATCTAAAATTACCTTTTCCTCAACGCTTTGTAATGTTCAAACTACAGAAAGCATTATCTTCTTCCCCATGTCTTTTACCCAGAACCATAACAGATAGCTCAATTATGGTTGTTTCATTGGGTTCAGGAGCCCAATATTAGTCTAGATGCCAATTTTTAATGCAATCTGCCAATAAAATACATTTTGGTCGCTATCTGAAAATATGTCTTTTTCAGCAAATTTTGCAATTTTTGTCATTATTACCCTGTTAGCTCTATTCTGATTGTTTAATTGCTGAAATAAGACTGATATTAACCTAGATGCCAATTTTTATTCAAATCGGTCAAGAAATAACATTTTAGTAGCAGACTAAAGATGTTGGTATTTTGCCATTTTTACTCATTTTTCGGCATTTTGTCCACTCAGTCAATAATGGGTCCGACACCATGTCGACGGCTTTATCATTGCTCCGTGGCAGTTGATTAGTATTACTCAATGACACCCACCCGCTTGTCGATTAATTTACACAATCAGCCACATGGTTTTGATTAACACTCAATGGCAATGTACATGTATATAGGATCAGAATTAATTTTTTCCTTCCACTTATCAGAGTGAATTGCATGTAGGTACCCAAAAACATTATCGCCAAAACAAAATATTTATCACCCAATCGAGCCAGCCAAGTAACCAAAATGCTAAGCATGCGGTGTCTGGGCCCATCAGCAAACGAGTTGTGTAGACAGCATAGCAACAAGCGGAGTTTGTTTATATTTTTTAGGGGTTTTAAAACTCAATTGTATCTGTTCAAAATCAATTCATCGACAATATTTTGATCATATTTGTAAACTGGAGATTCTCCACTTTACAACGATGCCAATTATTATGCAAGAGGAATTCTGACTCATTTTTATACGCCCACATTTTCATGGATTATGGCCCCTGTTTGTACGAAAAATCACGTTTTTAGCTTGTGGACCCTATAGAGGTCACAATTTTTATCCGATTTTGTTGAAACTTGAAATGTAAGTTTATAACCCAAAGATCTCAGTTCCTTTCGATATTCGCGCATATCGGACTGTAACTTCCTGAATTATGGCCCCTGTTTGTACGAAAAATAGCGTTTTTAGCTTGTGGACCCTATAGAAGTCATAATTTTTATCCGATTTAAAAAACTGTATTATTATATCACCGTTACACCCTAAGGACGACTGAGTTTGAATTTCTTGAAAATCGTCCCAAAATTGACAGACAAAATGGCCGCCGTTCGTTCTCAAAAAGCTTAAAAATATGGTATATCAAGGTTGTGGACCCTATAGAGGTCACAATTTTTATCCGATTTTGTTGAAACTTGAAATGTAAGTTTATAACCCAAAGATCTTGGTTCCTTTCGATATTCGCGCATATCGGACCGTAACTTCCTGAATTATGGTCCCTAATTGTATGAAAAATTGCGTTTTTAGCTTGTGGACCCGATAGAGATCATAATTTTTATCCGATTTAAAAAAACGTATTATTATATCACTGTTACACCCTAAGGACGACCGAGTTCAAAATTCGTGAAAATCGGCCCAAAATTGACCGACAAAATGGCCGCCGTTCGTTCTCAAATAGCGTAACCATATGGTATATCAAGGTTGTGGACCCTAAAGAGGTCACAATTTTTATCCGATTTTGTTGAAACTTGAAATGTAAGTTTATAACCCAAAGATCTTGGATCCTTTCGATATTCGCGCATATCGGCCCGTAACTTCCTGAATTATGGCCCCTGATTGTACGAAAAATCGCGTTTTTAGCTTGTGGACCCTATAGAGGTCATAATTTTTATCCGATATAAAAAAACATATTATTATATCACCGTTACACCCTAGGGTCGACTGAGTTCGAATTTTGTGAAAATCGGCCCAAAATTGACAGACAAAATGGCTGCCGTTCTTTCTCAAATAGCGTAAGAATATGGTATATCAAGGTTGTGTACCGTATAGAGGTCACAATTTTTGTCCGATTTTAATGAAACTTGAAATACATATTTATAACCCAAAGATCTTGGTTCCTTTCGATATTCGCACATATTGGATCATAACTTCCTGAATTATGGCCCTTGATTGTACGAAAAAATCACTTCTTTTTTTGAGCTTGTTCTCTGTCCATCTCTTGCAAAATGTGGGCGTATCTTGCATGGCAACCGCTTGTGATATACGGTGACACATTTACTTTCAATAATTTCTGTTAATTTCTTCTGGAGTTTTTACCCTTGTTTCACTTTTTTGAACATTATGAACACTCGAATGACGAAGGTTATCATCTGATCTGTATAAAATTTATATGCATAATTTAAATTTGTGAAACGAAGAATCCTATTGAATTTCAGCAATTTCTGTTATAACTTCTAGAGTTATGGCCCCTGTTTCACCTAGTTGAACCTTGTGAAAGCTCTAACAACATAAATTATCATCTGTATGAAATTTATGCATCATTTGAATTAGTGAAACAAAGAAACCTATTGAATTTCAGCAGTTTTTAGAACCTTGTGAACCCTCAAACGACTAAAATTATAATCTGATTCTGTATGAAATTGTCTTGTAAATGCTCTCATTTACCTACAAAAGAATAAGTATGTGACAACCCTTGTCGATCGCTTGGGGGTCACGGTGGCTAAGTGGGTAAGACGCTGGCTCACTAGCCTGGTGGGCGGGTATTCGATCCCTGCATTGGCCGAGAAAGTTCACCCAGATTTTCCAGCGTGGTTCCCCCTTGTCAGTGATGCAGGACGGAGGGCCTGACAAGAACAGCTGTCTAGTCATTCGGTTGAGACGAAAAACCGAGGTCTCGTGTACACATTGGCATGCATGTAAAAGATCCCTTGACAGTTGGAATTCGATATAAGAGTAGGCCGTAGTGCCGCTGTCCGGGCAAAATTTCACTCATACCGCAGAGTATGACATATGCTTGTCTTCATTAGCCCAGTTCGGAGCAAAACAGTAGGACGTTAAACCCCATTTCATTTCATTTTGTCGACCGCTCGGATGATTTAACTGCAGTTGATGTATGTTTCGTTGCCTGGCGACCTATCTTTATCCTATCAGACGTTGTAAATTTTTTGTTAATTATTTAATGTTTTAACTCTTTTGCTACCCTGAATCATTGACAGCATCTAGATACAGAATCCCATCAAACTCGTATTGCGCGCGGAGTTACCTTTTTTTAATTAAAACAGTGACATTCTTCATTGGGGCATAAGGAAGAACTGTATAAAATTTCAAAATTTTGGTATTGAAAAACGTTGCACATAGTTATCTGGTCATGTTTTGACATTTGAAGTTTCTGAATGTGATACATTACAAAATCCAAAGTTTGGGAATATCATCGTACAAGTCATAAACCAGTGGCTATTGATGAATGTCAGTAAATCCTTAAAGGAGAAGTATTTGTGAATTAATTTTGTTTATTCTGGATTAAAGATGCTTAGAAACTATTATCCTTCTCCTGTGAAAATATCTGAAACTGGTTGTTGCAATTACCAAGTCACTAATACAATCAAATAATGAAATTTCTAAAATGAGTTATATAGCCCTGTTAATTGTAGTTTAATGGTCAAGTGTGAGACATTAAGTAATATATATATATATCTCGAGTGCGTTAGAAAATTTAGTGATCATTTCCAAATGGTTCAACATTTTGATTTGGAACTTTGATCTGCATATATAAATCCTTTTTTATTTATGGTGGAACTGCTTCTATAAAAAAAAAAACATGAATAAATTCAGAAATCACCAATATTCATTGTTCTACCTTTACATAATTACATAATTTAGGACCTAAGCTTTCTTCTAAACATAAGATTGTGAATTTATTTTAATATGCCTGAGATAACAAAGCTGCTGGTGGGATATGATTCATGACTTCAATAAAATACCTGCATACCATTTTAACATTTGTTTTATTTAGAGCAAGTTGACTGTGGAGAGAAGTTCTGTAAAACTTGGAAAACTGTTTTCAAGATCCTGGCAAAAATTTTGGAAAAATTATGAAAAAGATAACTTTTATATATTTGAGTGGAAACCACTAATACGGTACTTGAGAAGATTTGGTAAGTAAAGTACTATGTACCATATTACCTCTCTACAGGTCACATGTTTCCTCCCATGCTAAAGACCCCTATGCTAAAGAATATTATTGAAAGAAAATTGAACCATTAGTCCCTAACTGACCTAGTTTGTGTTGAGTGGACGTTAAACCCCAATGTTATCTCTCTCAACAGTCACAGAGAGATCAAATTTCATGAAAATCGAACCGTAGCTTACTGTTAAAATGGGCCCTCTTTTTTTCGACAAATAGTAGCTTTTCTAAGAATCTAGAATGTGTAATCTGAGTGTAGTTGTTCATTAGGTGAATGCCTTGACTGATGAGCATTTTCTGCTAATGGTAACACTGAGAACTACTAAGAGGTGAATCTGTGCACAGCCATTATAGAAATCTCTGTTTGGCTTATTTGTACGTCTATCGAAAGAAAATTAATTTCCCGACTATTACTCGATATTACCACGTTAAAATTGTAAATAAGGTGCGTTAATTAACAAGGGTGAAAAACTGTCTGAGAGTTGAGTTAATTAACGCTAGGGGTGAAAAACTGTGCGATGGTGCATTTTCTGTAGAGGTGTGTTAATTAACCAACCGGTAAAAAATAAATGTCAATGGTGTGTATTGTTTAATTGGCGTGTTTTCTCGCTAGTTGCGATAACTACAACAAAAGGAGTATAATCAAGGACCAACAGGCTTTATCTGACACGTATGTGTTAAATCAAAATTTGGGAAGTAAAACTGTTTTACCGTGCGATATATAATTCGACCGTATGTTTTACGCAGGTCTTTGTATAATTAAAGACAGGTCTTTAGATAGACGTGTGTGCTCACTATGATCTACGTTTCTCTTATGTGTCTTTTGTATTGTGTACCATATATATAAAGTAGCATTTAATGAAACAAGCCAACAGTGAGGCTGATGTCCCCCGCCAAAATCCCGAAATAAATAGATATAATGAATCTATACTAGGAGTTTCATAGCTCTCAACCAATCAAATTGCTTACCGTAATCAGACAATATTCATCATCGAACTCCATCCATGCATTCACCTAATGAATGCCTACACCAAATTTGAGCATTCTACATGTACCTCAATTAGGAGAGTTATTGTGTTGCAAAGTCTCGACCGATCAAATTGCTTATAGCTCTGCTTACACTAAGCAGAAAATGATAATTATCGAACTTAGTCAAGGTATTGATGTGATGAATCTATACACCAATTTTCATCACTCTCACTTAATTAGAACTAAAGTTATTGTGTCCCAAAGCATCAACCAATCAAATTGCTTATCTCTGCTTACCCTAAGCAGACAAGCCAACAGTGCGGCTGATGTCCACTGCCGAAATCCCCAAATACTTTTCAAAAGTATCGATCAATCAAACTGATTATCAACTATACACTAAGTTTCATCACTCTCTATCAGATAGAATCAAAGTTATCTTGTCCCAAAGCATTGATTAGGAAATCGCTTATCTCTGCTTAGCTTTAGTTCGATATGTTAATCATTGAACTCAGTCAGGACGAACATCTACATCAAGTTTAAACATTCTACCTCAATTAGAAGCAGAGTTGTTGTGTTCGAATGTCTTGACCAATCAAAATGCTTATTGCTCCTTAGTCTAAGCAGACAATTCTCATCATCGAACTTAGTCAAGGTATTGATGTAATGAAACTATACACCAAGTTTCGTCACTCTCACTTAATTAGAACTAAAGTTACCATGTCCCAAAGCATCAACCAATCAAGTTGCCTTTCTCTACTTACATAAGCAGAAAATGCTCATCTTCGCATTCTATCAAGGCATTGACCTCATAAACACCTACACCAAGTTTGAACATTCGAGCTCAATTAGAAGGAGAGTTTTTGTGTTCCAAAGTTTCGGCCAATCAAATTGCTTATCGCTCTGCTTACCCTGAGCAGAAAATGCTCAATATCGAACTTAGTGAAGGTATTGATGTAATGAAACTATACACCAAGTTTCATCACTCTCACTTAATTGGAACTAAAGTTATCGTGTCCCAAAGCATCAACCAATCAAATTGCTTATCTCTACTTACCCTAGGCAGAAAATGCTCATCTTCACACTTCATCAAGGCATTGACCTAATAAACACCTACACCAAGTTTGAACATTTTAGCTCAATTAGAAGGAGAGTTATTGTGTTCCAAAGTCTTGGCCAATCAAATTGCTTATCGCTCTGCTTACCCTGGGCAGAAAATGCTCATTATCAAACTTTGTCAAGGTATTGATGTAAAGAAACAATACAGCAAGTTTCATCACTCTCACTTAATTAGAACTAAAGTTATCGTGTCTCAAAGCATCAACCAATCAAATTGCTTATCTCTCCTTACCCTAAGCAGAAAATGCTCATCTTCGAACTCCATCATGGCATTGACCTAATAAACACCTACACCAAGTTTGAACATTCTAGGGCAATTAGAAGGAGAGTTATTGTGTCCCAAAAAGTGTGACGGAAAATTGGTAGCTCTTCAGATCGGGAGGTGTTGATCATACAGCTTACCCTGTTTGTGTATTGTGCGTTTTTATAATAGCTAGCATATAATTTACGATATCTGAATACATTCTGAAAGAACATATAGTTCGTTATTAGATTTTTGTTTTTAATAGGCCATTTTTTTTTTATGATAGTCAGATATCAATATCAAATATAAATCACATTAAATAGCATCCTCGGTTATCCAGTGTACTCATTCCGTTCTACTCCACTATACCCTGGGTTAATCTATGGGGGAGACACGTTTTTATGTTATCCGCCCTTGATGATTGTGCTATTTTTATCGACAATCCCATAAATTGTTATTTGAAAAGAAAGTTGTTAAAGGGAAGTAACTCTCATCGAACATTGTTAGGAGTTGGCCTATTCTAAATGCGTAATTATTAACAACCAATTATATATTATGTTAATGAAGACCAGACGTTCATATAATAATGTAGGGTCATTAGTTTTATTTGGAATAGTTCGTTCTTGGAATTTTATGTCCACCTGATATCGTTATTGTGAATCAAATTGCCAAGTACAATAAACATAACAGAATGACATATTTCATACAAAGAACGAATTGTAATAATAATAATAACAAAAGTCAAACATAGAGATGTTATACATATTTGAAATCAACAACACATACTACAGATTTTGATAATACAATTAAATATAAATAAATTATAAACATATACATTATTTATATAAATCATTCAGTAAATGGACATGAATATGGTTATCTACCCTTATAAAAACGAAGCCGAAACGATTGGTTTGTAAACTGTTTTCTGATTGGTTCGTAGACTGTAGCTACATTCTAGGCCAGGGCAGATAATTTGAAATCGTGGAAACCCTATGGATTAACCCAGGGTATAGTAGAGTAGAACGGAATGAGTACACTGGGTAACCGAGGATGATTAAATAGATGAACAGCCCAATACTGCTTTGAAACAAACAGCATTGTAATTTTATTAAGAAATGCATTTCCCTGTTCCCTAATCAAATTTGATATTTGATTAAACTTCACATTTCATTTAGACTTTAGACAATTAGATTTCCAACTGGTCAGAGACGTAATTCAAATTATTATCATCATCAGAGAGATGTTTTGCAAGTAAAGGGGACAAAGTAATATTAATACTATAAATCAAATTTTGTTACTGTTATACATATACTAAAGTTTAAGAAGGAATATTGATACACTATTGCACCCTTCCATGTTATAACTTGTTTAGGGACACTGAACAATGTGACAATTTAATCATATAAAAAAATCAAGATTATGCACATGTAGTGTCGGTTAAAAGATGGTAGATTATTCCATTAAACAGATAGAGATAGTTTGATACTGGTTGCAGTAAATTTTACTATACACGTTTGTATGTATTCTATTTACATGCCATAATAGTTTTAACCATAAATTACCTAATTTTTTTAAGTAATCATATCGTCTAGTTCTATCGGGAGCAGATCTTTTCATCCCAAGACCTAATTAACAACCTTCATTCAGTAATCATAAGCTTATGGAACTTTAAAATCTTTGCTGAATCCACGGGACAGATACAATACCATGCTGATATTTTTTTTATTTTTTTTTTATTTTGGCGCCAACGACACGGCCTTCAATGCATACTATCAATCGAAGGTCAATATGTTAACTTACGCGTTTAATCAAATCAAACAATGTCTAAACTTTACTAGTATTGTATGAAGATATCCTGTATTTCTACCTTGATCTGATAAAAGAATGGGAAAATATACAAAAACTAAAAACATCAAGCGGAAGACAAGAATAAGTATATTTACAAGAATAAGTATATTTACAAGAATAAGTATATTTAAAAGAATAAGTATATAATAAGTATATTTACAAGAATAAGTATATTTACAAGAATAAGTATATTTTACAAGAATAAGTATATTTACGAGAATAAGTATATTTACGAGAATCAGTATATTTACATATGGCAAATTTGGCTTATTCGCTATAAACCCGGGGATATTCAAATTGGGGCCTACCTGTTCGATATTTATAAATGACGACATTTAGTGTCGGTTAAAAGATGGTAGATTATTCCATTAAACAGATAGAGATAGTTTGATACTGGTTGCAGTAAATTTTACTATACACGTTTGTATGTATTCTATTTACATGCCATAATAGTTTTAACCATAAATTACCTAATTTTTTTAAGTAATCATATCGTCTAGTTCTATCGGGAGCAGATCTTTTCATCCCAAGACCTAATTAACAACCTTCATTCAGTAATCATAAGCTTATGGAACTTTAAAATCTTTGCTGAATCCACGGGACAGATACAATACCATGCTGATATTTTTTTTATTTTTTTTTTATTTTGGCGCCAACGACACGGCCTTCAATGCATACTATCAATCGAAGGTCAATATGTTAACTTACGCGTTTAATCAAATCAAACAATGTCTAAACTTTACTAGTATTGTATGAAGATATCCTGTATTTCTACCTTGATCTGATAAAAG